GGTCCCCGCCTGCCCTGGCGACCACACTGCCAACCGGAGTCGAAGAAGCGACCCCGGCGATCCTCGACGCGCAGCACGCGCACTGCAAAAAGTGCGGCGTTGCAAGGCAAATCAAAGACTCAGTTTTGTTGCGAGTTTTTGAATGCCTCCATGATGGCGCCACGCCACACCACCCTACGCGTCGATCGCCCATTCCCATTTTTCACTTTGGAGGGCCCCGCCCCGCCGCGCCCCGCCGCGGCCCGCCTGCCGCATCAAGATCCCCGTCAAGGAGGTCGAGTGGCTCGACGACGTCGCGCGGGCCGGGCTGGGCTGGGGTCGGAGCAGGCGGGGCAGGGGGTAGGGTGTATCTTTTGCACGCAGCGCCGCGGTGTCTCCGCCAGGCCGTCAGGCTGGGTGCGGGCTGCGCCAGGCTGCGCGGACGGCGGCACGGCGATGGCGAGGCCGAGGCCGAGGCAGGCATTGGGCGTTTGGAGCCATCGTTCTCCCGACCGCCAAGACAATGAAAGTGGCAGGGACGGACTGGTTCGCGTCCAAGGGCAAGCACCGCTGCAGAGTTGGAAGCCGAAGCCAGCCACACGGTTCAAGTTCGGCAGCACGGCGCGGCGTGCGGCGCGGTGGTGAGGCGGGGAATGCCCGGGGCCACTGTGCAACTTCCTGCAAGTCCATTGTAGTGTAGGCCTTGGCGGCCTTCGCAGTCACGCCACGGCCCGGGGCCCCGCGGCCTGGCCTCAGGCTGGACCATCTTGGCGTGGAGGGGATGGCGGCGGGGCGGGGCCGCCTCACCCCGCTCTCCGTTCCGCCCGATCCGACTGATGGCATCTCCGCTAAGCGACCTCCATCCCGCGGCCCGCCGCACACGGAGTATACGCCTCCTAAGCATCATGGGGTCGACATATACCCGCACATTTTTTCCCCAAATCACTTCTGCCGGCTCAAGGTCGCTCAAGGCCACCCCCGGGTCGCGCGTGCGGCGGGCGGCGTGCGTCCCACGGGCCGTGCAGTCCACTCGAGCGGCAGCCTCGGCCCCTCGGCAAGCCCCTCGGCCTCGCCGTGAAGGCGGTCCGAGCCGTCCGCGGTGCACACGGCCTTGGGCTGCAAGGGCTGCGGCAGGCTCGTTCCGGAACGGTCGCTCCGTCTCTCTCGCTCTCAAGGAGCGTGTCGTGAGGCTGCGCGAGAGAGACGGGGCGACGACGCTCCGTTTACGAGTCGGTCTGCTGTGGCGTCAGTCGCGCGTGCTGGCCGCGGCGCCGCGGGCGGAGCGCTCTCATTCGCACCGCCGTCACCGAGGCGCCCTGGAGCCTGTTGGGGTTGTGGGGAGCGTGGAGGACGGAGTGGGGACTCAGGGCCCGTGGAGGTTGTCGTGGAGGCCGCGGGGCTGTGGTGGCTGCGGGGGCTGTGGTGCCGTGGAGCCCTCCAACGAGTCTTGCAGTAGGGACGGAAGGCGGGCGGAAGCAGGCTTTCAAGCTCTTGAACCGCACAGTGCAGTCCTGGCGGTCCTGTCCCGCCGCCGTCGCCGCGCTCTATGCGCCCTCGCCCTCGCCCTCGCCCTCGCCCTCGCCCTCGCCCTCGCCCTCGCCCTCGCCCTCGCCCTCGCCGTCCCACAGTGCGGCAGCTTGGTGGGGGTTGCCGTGGAGGTCGCCGCCGGCGCTATGGGCCTCAAGTAGTCGCCCGCTGAGCACAAAATCGCTTCCTTCGCCGCCGCCCTGGTTTGGCGTCTCGCAATCCCTGCCCCAACCCTTTGGCAAAGCCAACCAAACCCGGACTAACCCCGAACCCTAAACCCGCAGCTCCGTATCAACAGTGGCGGAGGAAGCGCACATTGCCGTTGTGCGCCTCGGCAGCCCCAGCAGCCCCAGCAGCCCCAGCAGCCCCAGCAGCCCCAGCCCCCAGGCAACACGACACCCCCACCCCCAGCCCCGACAGTGTCTCGCAAGCGCTGCGGCGTTGGGGCCCTCGGTATGGGAAATGAGTATCGCATCGCCTTGGGTGAGGACTCCCCTTGCTCGGCGGGCAAGGGCTCTGGGACGGCACCGCCACGCCACCGCCACGCCGCGCCCGGGACACTTTCATCTGCTTGCTTCAAGGGTGGCTGTGAGATGATCAATGGGCGGGTGCTTGGAGCGGAGCGGAGGGCCCGGGGGGTCCGGGCCCAGCGGCTCTCTGAGGCGGCGGGACTCCTGCTACCTACCCGGACAAAGTGTTTAGCCAACGTCGCGACGCTGCAAACCGCGTTCGCCTATACTTGTAGCTCTTTCGCTCTGTCTCTCTCGCACCCACGGGGCGTCCTGTCCTCGGTCCTGTCAGTCGAAACCAGCCTGCAGCGCAGCAGCCGCAGCTACTTCGCCCGCGCCAACTACTTTCGCCGGCTGTGAGGTTTGCACGCCGGGGTCACACTCTCCTTGAACTTGACGACGTTGGCCGCGTGGCGGGGCGGAGCGGGGCGGAGCGGGGCGGGGTGTGCCTCTGCTGCGTTTGCGGCCGCGGCAACTTTCGGTGCCCGCAGCTATCGCCGCCACGAAGCGTCCCAGGCCACACACACACACACACACACACACACACACACACACACACACACACACGAGCGGCAGAGAGTGAGAGAGGGGGGGAGGGGGAGGGCTTGGCGGCAATATAGAGGCAAAGGAAACGGCGTAAGAAAGGGGGCGATGAGTGCGGCGCCGCGCTGCTCCACGCACACCTCCCCGACGTGTCGCTGTAGGCGCCGCCGCCTCCGCCACCGTCGCTTTGCTTTTTGCGCGCCAAAATACACCTTCGGCCGCCAAATGAAGGTTTCCCCTTTCCCCAACGAGCCGACGTTGCGTTTGCGATGTACCCTAGCGTGCCATCGTGTCACTGCGGCATTTTTGATATGGTTCACCGTGAGAAGCAGCTGTGAGGGGAAACTGGAGAGTGGATTCGACTCGCCGTCAAACTCTCATCGTTCGTCGCGCTCGGTTCGGGTTCGGGGTTCGGGTTCAGGGTTCGGTATGACGTCTGTGTGATCGATGTTACGTCAGCCTCAGATGCAGGTTACCACACACAGAATGCCTCTCGTGGAACTTTGCGGCGAGGGGACACACACACACACACACACACACACTGACGCGGGGAGCATTGCAGCGCCCGCACGGGGCCCGCACGTCCAAGTTGTTGAGCGATAGGTGTGCAGCAGTGCCGGTGTCCCCGGTGTCCCTTCCCGCCGCCACCTTTTCGGCGGCCCGGTGCTCTCCTTGGCGTTCTCGCCGTCCTTGGTGACGATGACGCCCCGTTGACAACCGCGCGCCGCACCGCAACCCCCCGCCCGCCGCGTCTATACAGTCTGTTTTTCAACATCCGATATTACAAACTTTCATAATTAAAACTTAGCCTCCACAAACAAAATGCAAATTGAAAGGGTGTGTGTACAGAGGTGGCGGGGCGGAGCGTCTCGCCGGGCGGCCCACTGCACTGTGGGGGAAGGACAGCGACAAAGCCGTCCTGCGAGGTGACCTCCTTGACTACCTCCGCGGCCTCGTGCACCACCACGACGGTCTCCATGCGGGCCGGCGGCGATTCGCTGAAGCAGGACTCGAACCGAGCCTGTGACCCCGCCAATGGATTCCTCGTTCGGAGAGCAATTCAATGGTGGGGTCACTCGTTCGGTTTGAGTATCATTCAGCGACTCTGGAGCTCCAAACGCGTCCGAGATTTAGACCGCCTCCGCCGTTCTTCTGGACCACTGTGCTGCGCCAACAAAGCATCCCCAGTTTACAGCAAACGTAAAAAAATCTGTGATTGCAGAGAACTTTGCAGTTGAATCAAGAAGTTGTTCACCTTGTCGATGCGCAGAGGGAAATTTTTCTTCTTCTTTCGTTCCTTTGTGAGTGTAGAAAGAAGAAAAACACATACAGGCACACACACACACACACATGCACACAACGCAGCGCATCGTACGTGGGACGCATGTCTCTGGGAAAATCTACTTAGACCAAAGCCGGGCCAAGGAATGCACGATGAGGAGAGAGAGCTCTGGCCTACACAGGCCGACTCAAAAATTCATTGTCGAAATATTTTCAGGAAGCGGCAGGGACGACGGCCGGTCCAGCACTGCATCGGGGGCCAATGGGTGTCAGACTGGTGTCACGTGATTTGTGCACCAGCCGCGCCAGTCGGTAATCCGAGGCGAATCATTAACGAGTCACAAAAAGGCTTCACGTTTCCACGCCTCGGACGCGGAACCGGAACCGGCGCGGCGTGCGACCTTGAGGGAACCGCGGGGAAGGACCATGGAGACACGAACAGGACACGCGGCACCGGCACCCCCCGGTGGGTAAGTAATGTCAGACCGACTAAGTACTAAAGCGCTCAGGCGGTGTAGTTTGCAAACTCGCTGGGGACGGACGTGACGGATCGGCAGACAGGCAGACAGACAGACAGACAGACAGACAGACAGACAGACAGACAGACAGACAGACAGACAGGTGGACCGGCAGACAGACGGACGGTGTCCTTGTGGAGCGCGGAGCGTGGAGCGGGGATTTGGGGATTTCTTTTGGCGCGGATCCGTGTCGCCGCAACGTGCGCGCGCACTGCTTTACCGTCTCCGGATGCACGACGCGCTGCTCGGCGGGGCGGGGCGGGGCGGGGCGGGCGGGGCGGGGCGGGGCGGGGCGGGGCCTGCACTGCTTGCGTTGTGGCGGCGCCGCGCCGCGCTCGCGCTCCTTAATTAAAATTGCGGTCACGCCTCTGCGAGGCACGGCGCTCCGTTCGGCATGTCTGGAAGCGCTGGAAGCGCACCACCCCGGTGCGTTTGTGTGTGTGTGTGTGTGTGTGTGTGTGTGTGAATGTGTGTGTGAATGTGTGCGAATGCGTGCGAAGACGTGCGCTGTGATGTCTGATAGTGCGGCGGGCATAGACGGAAGGCTAGTGTCGGGCTGGGCTATGCACTTCTGATTGCTTCCAGAATGAATGGGTGAGACAGGCGTTTTGGAGCGAGGGCGGATAGGAGTGGGCACGTGAGCTGTCACTGGTACAACAACCTTTATTCGTCGTCAATTCACATTCATGACGAAAGTTTCAACCGTTATATACAACATTTGGTTTGGGTTTGGAGACACCTGACATGCAAACCAAGGGCATACAACGAGCGAGTTTGTTGTTGATAATTTTTTTTTTGTGGCTGGCAGAGAAGCGATATAATCTTGTTTTTTTTAAATCTTCGAAGGCAAATTCATTCGTTTTCTCTCACAAAATTGAAAAGTTCACGACACCACACACACACACGCACTCACACACACACATACATACACGGACACGCCACTTGTGTAAAAATACTCGATAGGCACAGCCTTCGGCGCGGCCGTAGGATGCGGATTGGGCTCAGAATCGGACATCGTACGCTCGCGCCAAGTCGGTGCGGACTAGACAAAGGCAACAGGCACAGGAAACAATAAGGTCCCTCTAGAACGAAAAGGAAAAGAGATCTCTCACACAACCAAGCATACAAACACACCGGCCACACTCACACACTCGCGCCCCAAAGACGCACAGTATAAAGTTAGTATCCTGGGGATATACCTGGATCACGTGAACGAACACATAAATATTATTCTTTTTACATCAGTTCATGCAATTGGTACGTCATCTCAGGGTATGAATAACCATCCTAAGGCTCTTAAAACATATTCGTATTGTCTTTACGTTATTGAGTCGCGATAAGTAGAAACTGACATTTTTTAAAAAATGATTTCGATAATTCGTGCTATGTTTGCAAATAACTTTATGTTAAATCAAGAGTCGCCTAGTCCTTTTTTGGCATTTCGACTAGAATTTATTATCATTATATCCACAAATTTTGATTTCTTTTCCTATTTAGATGATCGCGCTGAAATCGAGGCGTCAACGCACATCTTGGGGGAAAGGGGGAGGGGGAGGGGAAAGGACAAGAGGGGGGAGGGAGGGAACAACTAGTACAGGCATTCCTGTGTTTCGCTTAAGACGGTAAGGTGTGAAAGGAAAACAGGATTCAATCCTAGTGAAAAAGTCTTTGAATAAACGCGGAAGAAAAATGAACGAAAAGAGACAAAAAAGGGAAAAGTCTGTGCTCTGGGTAAGGTGCAAACAGACGCGGGAAGATAATGCTTTTGGCTGAGGGTGTACTACCGACGTGGGCTGATTACGCAAGAAGCGGACCGAGTCACGGGGCCTAAACATAATAATTAAGAATTATTGTAATTAGTATTATTATTGTCTACCAAGTCATGGATTTCCCTGACAAGTTTTTTTCTCGTTCAAAATATCGTACACTATGTCTTACGCTAGGATTAGCAACGAAACTACGGTACTCAATTCATGCATCGCCCTGGGGCCGCGGGGGCACCCACTCCATAACGCTCTCTCTAAATTGAAATCAATGGAAAAAGCCTTTTATACACGTAACATATGTACAATAAAGAGAACACTTAACAAAAATATTGTTCATTTGCCAAATTTACAAGAGGTGTTTTTTATACTTTTGGTAAATGCAAAATATCCTAAATATTATAATTACAAACAAACGTATGCGACGCACAGTAACAATCGGCAAGGCTTCGGCGCGCGCCGTCGTCGCGAACTAAGCTAGACGCGCTAGGCAGGCGGCTAGGCGACACGGCTAGGCATGACTAGACACGGTGGTGAGCGAGTTAGGCCTGACTATGTCACGTGGAAGTCGCCCTTGAGCAGGCGGGTGAACGTCTTTTTGAATTGCTGGTTGGCCAGCGCGTAACAGAACGGGTTCATGGGGCTGTTGGCGTAGCACAAGAAGTACGAGAACATGTAGAGGTGCTCGTTGGTGCAGGGCGGGTTGGCGCAGAAGCCCTCCACCAGGGCGAGCACGTGGTAGGGCGTCCAGCAGGCCACGAAGGCCCCCAGGATGAAGGAGATGGTGCGGAACGCCTTGCGCGCGCGGTTCTCCGACTTGGACTTCTGCCGCGCCGCGCCGTCCTTGCGTTTCCGGCGGCCCTTGAGGCGCTTGCCGAGGTTCTTGACGAGGTCGCGCCGCGACCCGCGCGTCGTGTTGCTGTCGGGCGCCGACTCGTGCTCGTGCGACGACGACGTGCCGACTTGGGAGCCGTGCTGCGAGGCGGGCCCCGACGCGAAGCCCGACCCGGACGGCCCCACCGAGTTGGAGGTGGTGGAGTAGTTGGCGCCGTGCGGCGTCATCAGGAGCGGCTCGCGCTCCGTCACCACCTGCGTCTGCGTCACGGGGCGCCGCGCGTCGGCGCGCGACAGGCTCACCTCCGTGTCCACCTTGGTGACGGGGTGGCCGTACTGCGGCGACGGTGCGCTGGCGGCGCTGGCCGCGCTGGCCGCGGTGGACAAGGCGGGGCTCGCGGGGGCGGCCTGCGGGGCGCGGGGCTCTGTCGCGGCCGCGGGCGGCTCCTGCTGCTGCTGCCGCGGCGGCGGCTGGATCATGATGACGGTCTGGCCCTGGTGGTGCTGCTGCGCCGCCGCGCGGATCAGCGCCGCCTGCAGCAGCGACGTGTTGGCGGCCTGGTTCTGCGCCTGCTGCGCCAGCAGCTGTGGCGAGGCCGTCGTGGTGCGGTCGCTCGAGGTGGACGCGGCCGAGCCCGGCGACGGCGGCCCCGTCGAGTCCTTGGGCAGGGACACGGCGAACGAGGGCGGGCTCTCGATGGTGGGCGAGGGCACAATGATGGAGCTCTCGTCCATGTAGCGCAGGTCCGCCGTGTCCAGCCCGACCAGCACGTCGTAGGTGGTGGCCAGCCCGTGCTGCGGCTGGATGTGCAGGCTGCGCGGCCGGCCGCTGCCCGAGGACGGCGACGACCCCGACGCGGGGCTGTTCTGGAAGCCGGATGGCGGCGGGATGATGGTCTGCGACTGCGTCAGCCGCAGCGGCACGCGGTACAGGGCGCTCTCCGAGATGGAGCGGTCGCTGCCCGCGTCCCACGACTCGCGCTGCGATCGCAGCGGCGCCGGCGAGGCTCCCAGCGTGGCCGCGGCCTGCACGGCCTGCGTGCCCTGCGTGCCCTGCGTGTACGGGTTCGGCGTCAGCGTCTCCGTGGACTCGTTCATCGCCGAGAGGCACGGGTTGTCCGTGTCCAGCAGCGAGCCCCGGTGACTGGGCGGCGCCGCATCGGCCGTGGGCTCGGGGCTGTGGTGGAAGGCCGCCACGTCCGGGCTGTGCGACGTCGTCGGCGAGGGCGCGGGTGACGTCGCCACCGACACGGTCAGACGCTGCGGCGTGGGCGACGGGTCCGGGGGTTCCGGGGACCGCAGCGGCACCGTGCCGTTGACGCGCGCCAGCCCGTACCCGAGCACCTGCAGCGTGTTGGGGTGCACCACCATGCCGGCCGTGGAGGCCCTCTTCTTGGCCAGCTCCCGCTGTGAGGGCTGCTGCGGTTGTTGCGGTGGCTGCGGCGGCTGCTGTTGCGGTGCCGGCTTTTGCTGCTGCTTCTTGGGCGGTGGCTGCTGCGCCACAGTGGTGCTGTCCTCGTCGCTCTCGAAGGCCGGGCTGGAGGAGCGCTCACTCTTCTCGTTCTCGCCGCTGCCGCCCGCCGTGTTGCTGCTCAGCTCGCGGCGCCCGTCCTGCGCGCCGTCCGCCTTGACGGCGGCCAGCTTGGTCATCTTGGCGGTCTGCGCGGCCGCCGCGTCGGGCTGCGCCGGCGCCTGCACCGCCAGCATGCCCTTGGCGCCCTTGGCGTTCTCCAGCACGGCCACGCCCTGGCCCTTGCCCACGCCGATGCCCGCCGCGCGGCCAGCCATCCCGGACATGGCGCCCGCCGACAGCGCCACCATGGACTGCATCTTGCGCTGCTTGGCCTCCGACTTCTTCTGCATGTCGTAGGCCGTCTTGTAGATGCCGCCGTACAGGATGAACAGCACGATGAGCGTGGTCCAGTAGTAGGCGATGATGAGCGCCGTGTTGAAAACAGGGTCCTTGAGGAACTGCACCGCGCACTGGCCGGGCAGCAGGTCGCGGTAGCCCACGAAGTGCTCCCAGCCGAAGATGGAGATGAAGAACAGCAGCGCCGGGATGATCCACGTGACCGTCACCATCCAGATGACGCGGTTCTTGGTGCGCCAGGATCGGTAGCGCGCCGCGATCTTGACCGAGCAGAAGCGGTCGATGGTGATGAGCAGCACGGTGTACTGCGACACGAGGCACACGGTGTAGTCCACGGACAGCCACAGGTCACACAGGATGGGGCCCAGGTCCCAGTAGCCCATCAGCACGTACACCGTGTAGAACGGCATCGACACCGTGCCTGCAACACACCAAGCAAGCGTGGCAACAACCAGGAAAACAACATGGCGGGGGCCGAACCGAGTCCATCATCCGACATCATCGCAAACAGAACAACTGTCTGCCAATAGCCCGCGCACAAAACCCGCCCCCACTACACTGTTCCTCGTTGTCGCGTCAGGCTCAACTCTTTCCCCGATTATGACAGGGGCCGTTCGACGGCCGCGTCAACCTGACACCCGGCCTGATAAAGTGGATCCATCACACACGCCTACTTTGCAATTCAACAACCGAGCCTCCCCGCTTCCCCCGCCCCTGCCCGCCCGGGTCGCGACTCATTCAATTTATTCAATCCGATTAGCAGTGCCGTGGCAGAGCGGCAGAGCGGCAGAGCCAGACGCGGCGGCGGGGCGGCGCGCTGCCCGCCGCCACCGTCACCTTCCGTTCTGACTTCTTTCCTCTTTTCTCTTTTCGCGTGACTTGGTGACTTGGTGACGTCCAATCCGACGTCGTGGACGTGGGGCCCGGCACCGCCAGCACGCCAGCACCATGACGCACCTGCCTCTGTCTCTCATTAAGGCGCCGGCAGCGGAGCCCTCATCTCTAATCTCATCCGGACGGTCCGGACGGCCCGGGACATCGGAGGGCGTGGCAGGCGGGGCGTGGCGTGGCGGGGCGTGGCGGGGCGTGGCGGGGCGGGGCGGGGCGTGGCGGGGCGGGGCGGGGCCAGCCTAAACGGGCCGGCCGGGCCAGCGGAAGGCGGACCAGAGACCTCTCAGCTCATTAACATTTCATTAATTTCTCCCCGCTCAGGTTGTTGGCCGTGTTCCTCGGTGTGACCTCCCGCTTGCGACGCCCGTGTGCCTTGTGCGCGGTGGGGCGGGGCGGGGCGGGGCGGGGCGGGGCGCGGCCGGGGTTGGCAGCCCTGGTCCATCTCGTCGCGCGCTCGAAGCGCGAACGTCCGAACCTTGTTAGGGGGCATTGTGACGTGAAGAAAGAGTGTAGGAACGCGGCGTAATTAATCCCCACAACATCGAAAAAAAAGAAAAAATGATAAAAAAACAAACAGGCGAAAAACAACTTTTGAAGGGCGAAGGAGCCCCTCGCTATTCATGTCGACAATTTGGCACAAAATGAGGAGGAGCGGCACGCCCGGGCACGCCGTGGAATTTGTGGTCGTTTCGCAAGCTACGCAAGCCCCCTCCTCCTTCTTCGCGGCACAAACGCGTCTATTGACACGCTCTCGAGAAGCATATCCCGTCTCCGGAGTAAAGGGCGGGAGAAAGTCAAACGAAACTTCAAAAGAGAGACTGACTGCGTGCCGCCGCCGCTGCAGGGTAGGACCTCCCCCCCCCCTCCTTTGCCAAATCCTCCCGTTTTCCTCGTGCCTTCGCCTCGCGTTACATGACCACTTCCTCTTCCCCTGCAGTGCGCTAGCCGCCTCTACCCCCTCCGTGCTCCATTTCTTCTGGGAGTTTCGCCTAATCTCGCCTACCGCGCCCCACCGCGCCCCGCCCCGCCCCGCGTCGAATCCTCCGCCGTGTAAACAATTACGGCCCGTTCGAACCGAAGCCGAGTCCGGGACGGAAGATGTGTGCGTTTATCTCCAGACGGAGCGGGCGGTAGGGGGAGGGGGGGGGGAGTGAGTTAGAAAGATTGCCTGACCAGCGTGCGGGCTGGAGAAAAGGGAAAAGGAGGGGGGGATCGTTTTCATCAGCCGATGACAAGGCCACAATTGGAAGCAAAGCCCGATGACCGGAACGAGCCACTTGAAGAAGTACCCCGTTAACTCACTCTACTCGAAATACTTGGCCAGGTTGACAGCGGGCCAGAAGACCGGTGGGTGGCAGCCAAAATTCTTGACGTGCTTCGAGCTCTAGAGTCGCTGAGGGACTCAAACATAACCTGTGACCCCACCAATGGATTCGTCGTTCGGTGAGCAATCCGTTAGTGGGGTTACACGTGCGGCTCGAGTTATATTTAGAGACTCTGGAGCTCAAAACGCGTCTTGAGTTTTGGCCGCCTCCGACATAGTCGACCGTCGCGATGGGCGAACGCGGGGCGAGGCCGACCGCAGGCGGTGCACCTACCGATGAGCATGTCCGTGGCGGCCAGCGACGCGATGAAGTAGTTGCTGGGCTGGCGGATGGCGCGGTCCACGATGAAGGCCATGAGCACCAGTATGTTGCCGAGCACCGTCAGCAGGATGCACACGCCCAGGCATATCGCGATCAGCACCGTCATCCAGGGCGGGAAGGGCGGCAGCACCGGCGTGATGGTGTCCGAGGCGTTGGCGTAGGTCGTGTTCCTGCAAGCAGAGGCGCCGCATCACCGCCAGCACTTCCCTCCACCGGCACGACATTCATGTACACTGTGCTTCGAGAGGTTATGTACAATTGCAACAGTCTCACTGCGTACGGTCGTGTGAGGTGTGTATGTACACTGCGTGCAAGAAAGGCCATCAGGATGTCCTGTACAAGTCGCATGCTCGGAGTGAAACCGACACTAAAGTCACACAGAAGAAAAAAGTTGGAAGGTTTGGGCTGGGGAGAGTGCACGTCATCAGGGGTAAGGGGGTGGTCACTATTATAGAAGTATTTACACTATGCAGGTTGGGGCTAGGACCAGTGCATTTCATCAGGGTAAGGGGGCGGTAACTATGATGGTAGAAGTATGTACACAATACAGGATGGAGCCAGGGACAGAGCACGTCATCAAGAGTAAGGGTGTGGTCAACTATGATGGTAAAATTATGTACACTTTACAGGTTGGGCTAGGTACAGTGCACGTCATCAGGTGAGGAGGTGAGCACTATGATGACAGAGGTATGCACACTATAGGCTATAAGGTTCAAACACCAGGGCAAGAGGCTTTGGGCACACACGGGGAGAGGAAGGGGTGCACTAATCACACACGGTCTCTTTCATGCAGTCAGTCGCACTATTCGCAAGTTGGCGAGATTCACTCCACGACACTCGAAACACGACCGCCGTTCCTAGAACATCCACATGCGAGCGGTGCGAGCGGTGCGGTGGCGTTTTTTTTTTGCGCTCGCTGCTCACCGGTACCAGTCCACGCTGGCGTAGTCCTCCGTGGGCGCGGGCCATGCCTGCTCCAGGCCGCCCAGGTCCCACTGGGCCCTGGACGAGGGCGCCGACGCGTTCAGAGGGTCGCACCCCCCCAGCAGCCTCTGGTACGCGTACCGACACAGGCGCTCCTGCTGTCGCCGGTGCTTCCTGCAACAGCATGCCGCGCCGTCAGCGCCGTCGGGCCACCGCAGGGCCACCGCAGGGCCACCGCAGGGCCACCGCAGGGCCACCGCAGGGCCACCGCAGGGCCACCGCAAGGCCACCGCAGGGCCACCGCAGGGCCACCGCAGGGCCACCGCAGGGCCACCGCAGGGCCACGCCAGGGCCACCGCAGGGCCACCGCAGGGCCACCGCAGGGCCACCGCAGGGCCACCGCAGGGCCACCGCAGGGCCACCGCAGGGCCACCGCAGGGCCACCGCAGGGCCACCGCAGGGCCACCGCAGGGCCACCGCAGGGCCACCGCAAGGCCACCGCAGGGCCACCGCAGGGCCACCGCAAGGCCACCGCAGGGCCACCGCAGGGCCACCGCAGGGCCACTGCAGGGCCACCGCAGGGCCACTCCAGGGCCACTGCAGGGCCACCGCAGGGCCACCGCAGGGCCACTCCAGGGCCACCGCAGGGCCACCGCAGGGCCACCGCAGGGCCACCGCAGGGCCATCGCAGGGCCACCGCAGGGCCACCGCAGGGCCACCGCAGGGCCACCGCAGGGCCACCGCAGGGCCACCGCAGGGCCACCGCAGGGCCACCGCAGGGCCACCGCCGAGGGGGAAACGACTTCGGTTATCCGATGTACAGCAAATTGGTTATCCGCTATCCGGATAACCAGAAATTTCGAAGTAATCCGGGGAAATTCTGAGGTAATCCAGGGTAATCCGGGGAAATTCTGAGGTAATCCGGGGTAATCCGGCGCAATCCAATGGTAATCCTGGAAAATTTTCGATGTAATCCAGAGGTAATCCGCGGGTTATCCGGGGTTATCCCTATCCGATGTACACAAAATTTCTCAGTCGTTTCCCCCTCGGCCACCGCCCACCGCGTACCGGTAGGCCTCCGGGGAAGACTCGGGGTATAAGTCTCAGGGCAAGTCTCCGGGCAAGTCTCGGAGTATTTCTCCGGGCAAATCTTGGGGCAAGTGTATGGGCAAGGCTTCGGGCAAGTCTCCGGGGTAGTCTCAGGGTCAGTCTCAGGGTAAGTCTCCGGGCAAGTCTCCGGGTAAGTCTCCGGGCAAGTCTCCGGACACGGCTTGGCGCCAGCATCTCATTCCGGTGTAGGAGGCGAACTGTACCCGTCGGCGCAGAGTACCCCCGGGTGCACAACGCCTAGGGCCATATTACCCTGGGGTACATGACGACTAGGTTCAATGTACCCAGGGGTACAAAGCGCCTAGTTGCTAGGCGAATTGTACCCCGGGTACAATGCGGCTAGGCGAAATGTACCCCGGGGTACATTTTGCCTAGGCTTATTGTATCCCCCGCCGGCCGGAGGAGGATGCACGTCGCCTAGGCGCAATGCATCCCCCCCGGATACAAAGAGCCTAGGCGAGGAGTATCCCCTCGGCCGGCCGGAGGGGGATACAAAAAGCCTAGGCGCAATGCACCCCCCCCCCCCGGATACAAAAATCGAAAAAAAAGAAGAAAAAAGGGGGGCCCTTCTCCCACCTCCGAGATCGGAGGGCCGCCTGCAACTTCGGTGGATCGGGGGAACCGGTGCTTTACAGGCGGCGACCCCAGGGGTTCTCGTCTGTATATGGGCCGGGCTTGAAGGGCGGGTTTGACAGTCTCTCTCTGCCTTGAGAGCCTTTGCTTTTCGCGGGGTGGTCTGTACCAAATGTACACCCGCTGTCCGGCGCTCTCTACCAAACATACAGCTTGTTTAAGGGCCAGCTTCAAAGGACTTATCATCTCCTCCCGACGAATCAGGAGGACCCACCCGCGACCAATTACGGGTGGCTGGATTGACGGATCAAATACTCCGTCGCTCCAGTGCCGAGGCCAACCCGCCGAAGCGCAGCTGCTTTTTAGACACCCCAGCGGAGTGGCCAGGTGAATGTGACTCTGACCACTACGCTATCAAGCTTGTACGTCTGGCGTCGTGTTGGACAACGGGTTTGAGTTGCAGTGGAGGGAAGCCAGTCGAAAAATGTAATGAAATGATGGGAGTCGATCCCAGGACCCTACTGCCGGGACCGCACGACTTTTGCCGCTCGCCCACCACAGCCCATGACGAATGGAGCGGCGTGAGGCGGGCTCTTGACGCGACAGGAATGGACCGACCCGGTCAAAATTTCACAAGAAGTTTGGGGAGTCGAACCGCCGACCTCAGCACGGAGAAGCGACGCCTCTACTCCCTAGACCATCACGGCACATGCAGTTCGTTGGCTGAAGTCACGGTTTTCAACCACACTGGGCGAGGCAGTAAAATTAAATGTTAATGTTTGTTAGGAATCGAACCCCCGACGTGTGGGACTGTTCTACACGGCTCCGCTCTGGTGGCCTCGAACCGTTCCACAAAAGAAAGGAAATCGAAAAAAAATTGAGATGCCGGTATTCGAACACCGCACTGTGCAAATGCGATCGAACGTCTGTAACATTTGCACAGTGCGGTGTTCGAATACCGGCATCTCAATTTTTTTTCGATTTCCTTTCTTTTGTGGAACGGTTCGAGGCCACCAGAGCGGAGCCGTGTAGAACAGTCCCACACGTCGGGGGTTCGATTCCTAACAAACATTAACATTTAATTTTACTGCCTCGCCCAGTGTGGTTGAAAACCGTGACTTCAGCCAACGAACTGCATGTGCCGTGATGGTCTAGGGAGTAGAGGCGTCGCTTCTCCGTGCTGAGGTCGGCGGTTCGACTCCCCAAACTTCTTGTGAAATTTTGACCGGGTCGGTCCATTCCTGTCGCGTCAAGAGCCCGCCTCACGCCGCTCCATTCGTCATGGGCTGTGGTGGGCGAGCGGCAAAAGTCGTGCGGTCCCGGCAGTAGGGTCCTGGGATCGACTCCCATCATTTCATTACATTTTTCGACTGGCTTCCCTCCACTGCAACTCAAACCCGTTGTCCAACACGACGCCAGACGTACAAGCTTGATAGCGTAGTGGTCAGAGTCACATTCACCTGGCCACTCCGCTGGGGTGTCTAAAAAGCAGCTGCGCTTCGGCGGGTTGGCCTCGGCACTGGAGCGACGGAGTATTTGATCCGTCAATCCAGCCACCCGTAATTGGTCGCGGGTGGGTCCTCCTGATTCGTCGGGAGGAGATGATAAGTCCTTTGAAGCTGGCCCTTAAACAAGCTGTATGTTTGGTAGAGAGCGCCGGACAGCGGGTGTACATTTAGTACAGACCACCCCGCGAAAAGCAAAGGCTCTCAAGGCAGAGAGAGACTGTCAAACCCGCCCTTCAAGCCCGGCCCATATACAGACGAGAACCCCTGGGGTCGCCGCCTGTAAAGCACCGGTTCCCCCGATCCACCGAAGTTGCAGGCGGCCCTCCGATCTCGGAGGTGGGAGAAGGGCCCCCCTTTTTTCTTCTTTTTTTTTTTTTCGATTTTTGTATCGGGGGGGGGGGATGCATTGCGCCTAGGCTTTTTGTATCCCCCTCCGGCCGGCCGAGGGGATACTCCTCGCCTAGGCTCTTTGTATCCGGGGGGGATGCATTGCGCCTAGGCGACGTGCATCCTCCTCCGGCCGGCGGGGGATACAATAAGCCTAGGCAAAATGTACCCCGGGGTACATTTCGCCTAGCCGCATTGTACCCGGGGTACAATTCGCCTAGCAACTAGGCGCTTTGTACCCCTGGGTACATTGAACCTAGTCGTCATGTACCCCAGGGTACTTTGGCCCTAGGCGTTGTGTACCCGGGGGTACTCTGGGTCGGGGGGGTACACTTACACGCCGACACCGGTCCCGCGGCACGAACCACCAGCTGAGCGTGAGCTGAGCCCCGGTCGGCCCGGTCGGCTCGGCAGACTGGGCTCCGGCGGCTGTTTTCCGTCTCACTTTACTCGAAAACACTCAGAGGCCGCGCGCCGGAACACCGAAAAATCAGCCAGCGGAGTGGAAGGGAAAAAAAGCATGCGTCGTTTTCCCAGGCCGTTGGCGCGTTCTTATTTTCAAAATAATTGTTCTATTCATCCGCACTTATTACTGCTGCTGCATTACACTGGCACCAAACCAGCCCCCCCTCCCCCCCTTTTCCCTCGGTCGCGCCATTGCCGACATG